TCTAGACCACGTGCTTTTGAAGAAAGGTTGGACCAGATGGTCCTTGAGGTCCCTTCCAACTGGGTATTCTATTATTCAAGTAAATATTCAGAGAATGGCAAAACTAGCAAATTAGTCAGCAGCATCCATGACACATTCATGGGAATTGTCATGGACTCATTCAAATGACTTTAGACTGATGGCTGAAATGTGAAAGGGAGCAGAGATGTGTAGATAGGGTTGAAAGGAGGATTGTTATCTAGATGATGTCACCATTTATACTTGTAATTGCTTGTAGGTTTTATTTCATGCAAAGCAGACACTTGATTTTAGAGAGCAATTACTGAAGACAAATGTACCAAATCCCCAAACAAGGGGAAATGTAAAAGGAAGGATACAAGTGGGATAACAGCAAGAATATGTACACATATTTCAGAGGAGGAGAGAACAAGATAAGAGCAGTCTGGTGTCCCTCAGGCAAAAATAAACAGCTTTAGTAAGAACATGGGAAACACCTCATCTGCAGTTAATCTCAAGGTGGTATTCCTTTAATGTTCATATAGATATTCTTGTTGGTTTACCAAAACAAGCAGGGAGCATTTAGTAGAACTAAAGTATCATGGGTTGGTGATACGCTTTATGGAACAATTTCATCTTCCTTTAGAGTGTTTACAACAAAAAGGAAAAAATACAGTAATAAAGGAGTGCTGTGTACACTCAATATATATGGGAGCAAGATGCAGCACAAGAGAATATGTCTCTCCAAGACTGAAACTGAAAACACTAAGCTCCTTAATCCTTACAAGAAAAATATATCTGTGATGGGTTGATCCTGGGCCAGCAGCTAAGCATCCACACTGCCACTCACTCCCCAACCCCTCTCCAGAGAGAACAGGAAGAGCAAGAAAACTGGTGGGTTGAAATAAAGACAGTTTAATAAGCAAAGGGAAGAGGAAAAAAAAAACAACAAACCAACCTACAACAAAACAAGTGATGCAAAGGGAACCACTCACCATCTCCCACAAGCAGAATGATGCCCAGCCAGTCTCCAAGCAATGGCTAGCTCCCCCCAAACCCCTTCTTCTCAGTTTTTATTGCTGAATATGATGTTACATGGCATGGAATATCCCTTTGGTCAATTGGGGTCAGCTGCCCAGGTTGTGTCCCCTCCCAACTTCTTGCCCAGCCCTGGCCTACTCCTTGAGTGGGAGCAGAGCAGGAAAAAGAGAAAGCCTTGATGTTGGAAAGCACTGCTCAGCAACAACCAAAACACTGGTGTGTTATTAACATTGTTTTAGTCACAAACCAAAACACAGCACCATATAGGTTGCTATGAAGAAAATTACCTCCATCTCAGCCAGACCCAGTACAATATCAGAAGGTGTTTTACTTCAAAGAATTCTCAAAATGCACACACTGCTCTTTTGGGACTGGAATCCCTTGGGATTGCTCCATCTAATGCACAGAGTGCACAGAACAGGAGTGAAACTGCTTCAAACTATCAGGGTGATAACTGAACTCAGAGGCTTAAATGTTTTATCTTCTTCCACTTACCCTTTAAATTTAAGAATATTGATGATAAGTTGATGATGAGTTGATGCCTAAATGTGCACACAGAGATTTGCTCACTTAATTCACAGGAGAACTTCTAAGCCTTGAATGGTTGGAGGCCTGTGGTAGATTGGGAAAGGTTGGACCACATGAACTGGTCAGTTGAAGTAGGAAGGAAGAAAGTGGTGGAGGAAGTGATGAGAGACTAAATAAAATGGAAGTAAGAGTTCAGACAAAGACTGTGGAAGAACCTGAAACTTTTCCGTACAATTTATTATTATTCACCTGTGATGCTTTAACATGAAATCTGGGAGAGGAGTTGCCAACTGATTTAGGAGACTAATTGCTCTGAGTTAAAGCAGCATAACTGTCCTACTAGAAAAATAATGTTTTTCAGGTCATTTTCAGGAAACAGGTAACAAATCTGGCATAGAACAAGAAAGGTATACACATGAATTTCTGGTACCTCCTGGTAGCAGGTGACCTGTATAGTTGATGCTTCAATAGAGATTCCAATTCTCTCATTAACAAGAATTAGAAGCAATCAAATATAGGGCAACCCATAAAGAAAATGGAAAGTAACAGTGAATGAACTCCTGTTCTCATACATATGGAGAACTGTGGACTACTTGGACCACAACTACTGGTAGATTTGAGGCAGTCCTACCACACGGAATGGTTTGCATAAAAAAGCTGATGCATGCTGCGATGTGTTAAACCTTTCTCAAGCACATTATTTATTGAAGCTTTACTAAACTTCACTTTTGCTTTCATCTTTCCTGAAGTCCAGGACAATCACCTCTGACACCCTATTCCACAGCTAGTTTATGAACCATTACTTAGGTCTCTGCAATGCAAAAAGATTCTATGATCTGCATAGTTTTTAATAAGAAGACTTTCATATCTGCACTCAAAGAATTCTTATACAGCCAACACTCCGCAGCAAAATATTAGGTACAGTTAGCTAACCCAGTTACTTCCCCTTTTAGATTACAAACCTTAATTTATCTGTTCCAGCTTTGTACCTCGAGATTCGAGCCATTGACAGAGGAACTGATAAGGTGTCTAGCCAGCGCTTCTCGTATTTTGGTTCATTAGCTATGGGTGAAGAAGGTGATGATGGAGCCTGTACAGAATAAATGAGAATCAGTAAGTGCAGTTTATCAGACAATATAGTGAAAAAACATGAATATGTATCTCTGGCTCTGCTTGTCTCAGAAGCGAATAATCATAGCAATAAAACTATTCAAGAAACTCAGGATTTAGTAGAGAAATAAAAAGAAGCATTCATGTAGAAAGGAATGCTAGCTATCTTGATATTATGCTTGTGACTTAATTTCAGTATTGCCTTAACATTAAAGACTTTTTTTTTTTTAATATTTATAACTGCCTATTAAAAGAAAATTGTTGTTAGTCATAAATGTCCTGAATTTTCTCTAAATGCAACATAAAATACATTTTTGGTTTAAATTAATTTGGTCTTTTACATGTCTCAAACAATCATCGGAGAAAAAGACACAAATAATATCCTAACATAAAGATTACATTACAGAATACTGGTTTCTTATTTGTGCATTGTAACTTTTATCCATAATGTTATTTATTAGTAGATTTAAAATTCTGATTTCTATGTTATCACTATCCATATATGGACTAATGAATTTTGAAATTTCATCTTTGAAGTTTTCCTTCAAATGCTTCTACTAGAAAGGCAAGATTGTTGCTACTATCTAAGCAGTAACAGATGTTGAGATCTCAGAATAGTGAAAATATGTAATTTTACAATCCACTCATTTCATGTAACTATGGCATACAAAAGAGAATAACCTTAAATCAAATATGTGCAAATGCAATTTAGGTTAGGAGAATTAGCTTGGATATATAGCTATTGATAAAAGGCTCTACTCAAACCTAAACTAGAGCTTATATGCAGACTGTTCTGCCTGCTCATATATGTACCATCTTATGTATCATAACTAAATAGTGCATGAAGGCACCAAGAATGAAACATGATAAAAAGAAAATATTTATGAAATTTTAAAAGTTGTCACAGAACCACTAGCACTAAAACATTCAGGAAACTGCAGAGAGATATACATCTTAGTCAATATACACTTGCAGAATATGCAGTTTGTTCCTTGTGAAATAATATCAGAGGTTTACATCATTGTATCAATGACTGAAAGTACAGAACTATGCCTGAATTGTCAAAAAAAAGATGGTAACTTGTTTTTTTTTTTTGCAAATTATATTAAAACAGTGTTTACAGGCAAAAATCAATTAAATCAGAAAAAGATTAGAAAATGCTGGAAACCACTGCTCAGTGTACCAACCCAGATTTATGAGCATGATTATGAGCTTAAAAAAATGCTTATTAAATAAACAATAGAACAAGCTAGGAGTTTCTTATAGAATGCATAAAAATGATAAATTGAAAAGTTTTTATTGGTACTTTTATCTCCGCACTACGATGACAGCTGAGCATTTCATTCTTTTATAAGGATAGCAATACTATTTACAGAGAGGCAGCTGAGAGGGATTGACAGACACAGATATTTAGGTCAAAGTTAGGCATTTCTGCTGTCTCTGAACCAAAATTATTTGTCCCAGGTTGTACAGAGAACTTTCCGGTAGAGAAGGGAGTTGAAAGCTGGTTATTTTTATACGAGCTGTAAATATGCACCGAGTAGTACTTACAAAAGCAAATAAACCACAGAATGACCCAACTTTAGCCATAAAACTTACTCAAAATAAAGAGCATTCTGGGAATTGTTCTATTTCTATTTCTTTTTCTTGCTCATAAGGATTTAGGGTTAATATTTTTTCCCCTAAAGCTCTTTCTTACAGTCAGCAAGGGCTGATCTTTCTATTTACTTCTTTAAATAAATCAAAATAGTGAGTGTCACATTCTAACAGGACAACTGAGAGTTAGTGATTGAGGGACACTTTTCTAGTAAATGAAAAATTTGTAATGAAATTGCTGGAGTTGGTAACACTAAAGAATCTTTTAGACTGCAATCTCTTTGGGGGAAGGAATTTCATTTAGAGTATTTGCAATCCCTAGAACAATCCAGCTTTCACTTGACTGAGATCTCCTGGTGTTGTTGCAGTATGAATATTTCATAATCAAGGCCATAGACTAATGCTATTTCATAGAATTAGCCACAAAAGGCTAAGGTGTCTCCAAAGCTTAATATAAATTTAATAATATCATAGTGAAGAAGCTGATGCATATTTTAGAATTCTGTACAAATTAAAATAATTGACAGAACCACATGCAATCTGAAGTTGAAAATTACCAACATAATCTAACATGCCTGTCTGGAAACTGAAATGTCTAAGAATAAAGCAGAAGGTGGCTTATTACAGTCAAACATAAATGCTTGAATATGATCACTGAATTTAAATCCAAGAATCAGAAAATAAAGGAACATAAAAATTCCTGAAGCACCTTCACCTATTGTTCCCATCCTCTCAAGTCTCAAAATACAGAAAACATCTAGACAATTTAAACATAAAAACCTGTCTTTTTCTTGTGAACTAGTAGCTGTACTTCTTTTAGCAGGCTGTTGAACAATATTCTGTAATATTCTAGGCAATTTAAGAGCATTTGGCAGCAAAAAATTCTTGAGTGGGTCACTCTGGCAATTTAATGTTTCCATTTGGTCCCTTACACTTCAATCAAATGCTTCAGTAGGATACCAGTGTGAAGAAAAAAGTATCTCAATGTAAGTAAAGATCAGAATTTTAGAAAATCTACATCACAGCTATTCATCAGATTCATGAATTGAAGGGGAAAAAATGGCCAAAACCACTTGGTCAAAATCTATTAACCCCAAAGTTATGATACTACAGTACAGAAATATTCCTGCCAAAATGCTAAACTGCTACAACTGATATAAACTCCTAAAGAAAATGACAATTCCAAAGTTTTGATATTTGAAAAACACACTAAGAAGAGTAATTTATTTTTTTTCCCCCAGTTCTGGACTACTTATACCTGCAGAAACCCTACTGCATGATCTGAACATTAATGACCAAGAACAGGCAAAGGATACAAAGGGGTTGAACTGGTCCAAATTTCAAATGTCTGTTTCTTACTAAGCCATATTCTACTAATGGAATGGGATCCACCCGAGAGTGCTGAGGGAGCTGGTGGAGGAGCTTGCCAAGC